AAAGTAGCACTTGTTCGCTGCCGCCCCAGAGGCCGGGGACGGAGGCATCGGGAGCGGGCATGGCGACGTGGTGTCAGCCGGACTCGGGTATCCGGGGCAGGTTGGGGCTGGGCTCGCACCAGAGGCCTCTGGCCTTCCTCGCTCTTTAATTTCTGGAGGTCTTTAGCAATAACTTGCGTGAGGACAGGAGGGCAGTGTCAGCTGAAACTCTGGGTCGCAGTTGTGTTTACTCTTAGCCAAGCAAGGGGTGTGTGTGTGTGTGTGTAGGTCCCTTTTCTCCCTTAGGATGAAGTTGGCAGGTGGCTCATAACGGCGGAGAGCGCTGTGTCTTGGTTTACAAGGTTAATAGCTCAGAAGTAGAGGCCAGAAACCGAAAGCAGACTTACTCCCTCCCCACTTGGCTGTCGGGTGGAGAACTTTGCCATAGCCTCTGTTTGGGCTCAGAAGGTCATGTGAGCGAAAATAAAACCTGCCTATGCAAATTACGGACCGAATCGTCCTGGCTCCCCTCCCCTTCCCCCTCTACTCCCCCCCCCCTTTTTTATTTTCTTAAATGTGAGATGGGAAAGGGAAATCAGATTTCAAAGTTGAGAAAATAAAAGGCATCGTCCTCTTCTGTGAAGTGGTGGCCTGACCGTGTTCCTCGTGTCCTTTCACACTCTCATCCGTGAATGGTCACCCCCTCCCCGTGGGAAGTGGGGAGGGACGAGGATTGTAGACCGTTTTCTCCAGAGAGATGGGCAGCCAGCTTTCCTTGGAGACGGGCAGTGGACTTGTGCTGCACATAGACGCTGGGTGGTGTGTGTCTGGGCTGGAGGGGAGGGTTGGTAAGTCAGACAACAGGTAAAATATTTTGGATGCTCTGGGCATTGTCTCCTTCTTCATAACAAGCCATGTTTTAGGGCCTTGCGAGTTTCATCTACAGAAACAGGGATCCTTTGATCCTTTGTGAGCAATACTTCCTTTCATAGTTGTGTCTATAAAAGGTTTTTGTTCAGGGCGTATAATGACCGACTTATTTTTCCTCTTGTAAAAGTGGCCTTTTAATGTGTTTCCTACCTTCTGCCTTGATCGTGGTGTGAAAATTATGGCATCTTACCCTGTTGCTCTGTGATTTCCATTTCAGGTTTCTCTGGAAACCCTCCTGGTAAGAGTGGAGGAGGTGGGACACTCTGACCCCAAGACAAAAGGCCTGTAGCTCCAGCCAAAGAAAATAAACCTTAGGAAGAAAAAAACACACCAAAAAACCCCACAAACAACAACAACACCCCCCATCAGCTGTTCCTGAGAACAGCCTGCAGTGGAATCGACAGAGAGGACGACTAATGCGAGTGAGGAAGTGACTGTATGTGGACTGTGGAGACAGTAAGTCACGTGGACCCTGAGGGCCTGGACTGGGTTAGGAACTGTTGTACTTTCAGAGGCGAGGTGTCCAGAAGGGACAAGTGAATGTGGTCTGGAGTGTGGCCTTGGCTCTGCGGGCTGTGCTTTCCTCTGAGGCCGTCAGGGAGCTCAGCCCCTGTGTTCTGCCAGGGTGGGGTGGGGGTCTGGCATTGAGTGGGGGGTGACTTGCTGGCTGGAGCAGCAGAGCAGTGGCCTTGATTTGTCTTTTGGAAGATTTAAAAACCAAAAAACATAAACGTTGTGGTCCTTCAGCAATGCTTTCTCTGAAGAAATACTTAACGGAAGGACTCCTCCAGTTCACCATTCTGCTGAGTTTGATTGGGGTGCGGGTGGACGTGGATACTTACCTGACCTCACAGCTCCCCCCACTCCGGGAGATCATCCTGGGGCCCAGTTCTGCCTATACTCAGACCCAGTTCCACAACCTGAGGAACACCTTGGATGGCTATGGTATCCACCCCAAGAGCATAGACCTGGACAATTACTTCACTGCCCGGCGGCTCCTCAGTCAGGTGAGGGCCCTGGACAGGTTCCAGGTGCCCACCACTGAGGTAAACGCCTGGCTGGTCCACCGGGATCCGGAGGGGTCTGTCTCCGGCAGCCAGCCCAGCTCAGGCCTTGCCCTCGAGAGTTCCAGTGGCCTCCAGGATGTGACAGGCCCAGACAACGGGGTGCGAGAAAGCGAAACGGAGCAGGGATTCAGTGAAGATTTGGAGGATTTGGGGGCTGTAGCCCCTCCAGTCAGTGGAGACTTAACCAAAGAGGTTAGTGGCCACATGGAGGAGTGGGTGGGAGGGGTTGGGTTGGGGGTGGGGATTGGCTGGTCCTGGAGGACTGTGGTCTATGGTACTAACTCCTGTAAAGAACCAGAGGTTGGGCTGGGGGTGGGGGGATGTCTCAGGCATTGTTCTTGAATAGGAATGAGCTGAATTGTCTGACTGGGATGGGAGCCTGGGAGCAGCATTTCCTGCGTTGAACCATTGACCCACCTCTAAATGTACCGTCAGGGCAGTGGGAGGTTCCTAGAACATGCCAGTGTGTTTACTGCTTGGATTTCAACATGACTCCTGGAGGCCCTGGGATGGGGGAGGGAGTCATGTTGTGATGGGCTTTGATGCCGTGTATATCTGTTGCTAAGACACAAATATTTTGTGGACTCTTGCCTTGTACCTCCCCCATCAAAACACACATATATATCCTGAAGTTCTACTCCCTTGTGGTCAGTCCTGTTGTTGTTTTAAGGTCCTGATAAGTCCGCTGTCCTGGGCCTGAGCCAAGGGGTAGATTTAGAGAGTTATTCTCGGTCCAGTGAGGACCAAGGCTCCCTCTTTGCTAAAGGCCCACTGTAGGGAGTAGGAAGGTGAGGCTGGGAGCAGAAGAGGAAATGCATTCTGTTGCCCGAGTCCGCTAGCTTTGAGCTGTCAGATCTTTAGCTCCTGACATGTGGCTGACATACTGTTCTGGGCAGAAAGTGATGTAATTGATTTTAATAATGTGAATGGCTACAACTGCCCCTGTCCCACCAACATGATGATAAGATGGCTTTGAGCTCTGTTTAGCCCTGGCTTGCCACTCAACCCCAAGGAGTTTGAGAAAAGGCCCACTGCAGTCTTCCAGCCATTAAGAAAAGAGAAGACTGGATTGCACTAGGCTGGGTTTTCCAGACCTGAGTGTTCGTGGTGGTGCTGGGTGGGGAGAGGGGATGTAAAAAGTGTTACAGATACTGAACTTGGCTCTTTCTTCCCACTAGTCAGACCAGGTTTTTTCTTCTTTCCTGCACTTGAGCCTGTTCCTGAGCTCAGTTCTCTGAATGTTAGTGACTCAAAGCGTGTGGCTTCCTCTGGGCCAGAGGTCCTAAACTGGGGGTGATTTTGCTCCCCAGGGGACATGTGGCAATGTCTAGAGACACTTGGTTGTCACAACTAGAGGTGCTATTGACATCTAGTGGGGAGAGTTCAGGGATGCTGCTAAACTTCCTAAAAACAGAACAGTCCCCCAAATGACAGACTCATCTGGCCCCAAATGTCAGTAGTGCCAGGTTGCTTTACTCTTCAGCTGGCTCATACTGGAGCTACTTTGAAAGAGATTAGAATTATCTGAGCATGTGAGACATGAGCATTCCTTACCTTTCAGTGCATTTTCTGTTCATCTTCACCCGAGGATATTTTTCCATTGATTTGTAGAGAGAGTGGAAGGGAGGGCAAGAGACAGAGAGAAACAAACATCCATGTGAGAGAGACACATCGATTGGTTACCTCCTGCATGTGCCCTGACCAGGGCCGGGGTCGAGCCTGCAACCAAGGTACGTGCCCTGGACCGGAATCAAACCCGGGATACTTCAGTCCGAGGGCCGACATTCTGTCCACTGAACCACACTGGCTAGGGCTTTCTTTCAGTGCATTTAAAAAAAAATCTTTATTGTTTAAAGTCTTACATATGTCCTCTTATTTGCCCCATTGACCTCTTCTAGCTTACCCTCCCCTCCCCGCCCCCGTCTTCACTGCATTGCATTTTTTCTTAGATTCTTACAGCGCCATTGGAAACGTGAACCTCTCTTCTTCTTCTTTCTCTGTCCATTTACTTCATGGACTCGCCTTGGCACAGTGGTCTGAAGACTATGCCTCCCAGCCTAGGCTTCCTCCTGCCCCAGTGTAGCTCCCCAAGGGGATGGGTGTAACTGGGCTTGCTCTTGGGAACCCTGCAGGGGGAGCTCCATTCCTATTCCTGCTGGGAGCTCTCCTGGGATGGGATGTTTTGGATGTAATGTGGCTGGGTTGGAGTGGAATGGGGTGGGACTTTGACCCTGCTTTCCTCCATTTCTTGGCCTTCATGAAGGTTATGTTTTCTGTGACACTAGGCCTTCGCTACTCCCTTTGGGGGCTGGCGGTGGGTCAGCATTAGGGGCCCAGGCTGGGTATGGGGGAAGGGAGGATTATTATGTGTCTAGAACAACATTTCCTCAGCAACTCAGGGATAAAAATACCCAGGTCTAGAGCATGTGACAGGCATTGCTGGAGCTGGTATTATCCCTGGGTGGCAGTGCTCCCCTGCTGCCAGGCCTGTTCGATGGACAGCCATAGCCCAGGCCCTTGTCAGGATAGGATTCCCCTCGAGGTTGGCACTGCCTAGGGCGAGGGTGGCCTGTGTACAACTCTTCCCAGGCAAGGAGCAGTCTGTGACCAAGGAGAGCACACTGTCCCCGACCTGACTTTCGGCTCAAGGGGAGCAGCAGTGAGGGTCGGAGTCAGAATTGTGATGCTGATTCTGTCAGGGGTTTCTCTCCTTCTTTAGAGATGTGGGCCGGGGTGGGCAGAGAATCTTCTTGAGCAAAGCGAGGGTAAAGGGAGTGGGGGACATGTTTGTGGCCCCAACATTGTGGGTGGTGCAGAACACTTGTCTCCTTCAGTGTTGGCCTTCGGGCTCCTGGCTCCCACCTCTTGGTAGGCCTGGCCAGCACGGTGACATGGTGGCACATGGGCAAATGGCATTTTCCCTTCCTCTCATCTGGCCTGTTGTAGAGTGACAAAGCCCCGGGCTCACATTGGATCTGGATACACCGGGTTCCTGCCCAGCCTGGCTTGTCATCCTTGGGCTTGAGGACAACTGGCCACAGTCCTCCTGAGGAACGGGAAAACTTCCATTTCCAGGGAAGAACTTAAATTCCCGCAGTAGCTTCAGGAGGAGTGTCTGCCCAGTCCTGAGTGGGCTGGGAAAGCTGGATGCGACTGGAAGGAGTGGCACCCCTCCCCCCCCTCACTGCCCAACCCGCACTGGCTTTCTGGGCTGGGTGGGGCTGCCCGCCCCTGGGTGCGTCTCCTTGAGGAGAGGAGGCGGCCCAGGGATGGGCTGGTTCCTTGCGGCAGCTTCTCCAGCTGCCCTGGTGCAGAGATTGGCTCTGGGCTGCAGCTAGGTAACAGGCGGTGGGAGGGGATTGGCTCTTTCCGCATCTCCAGCGGAGACTTGGGGGAGGAGATTGGCTCTCGTCGCAGCCTAGGTAACGACAGTGGGAGGGGATTGGCTCTTTCCGCAGCCCAGCTGCTGACCTGGGGGAGGGGATTGGCTCTCCGCAGCCTCAGCAGTGACCTGCGGGGTGGGAGGGGGAGGGGATTGGCTCCTTGCTGCAGCCTAGGTAACAAGTTTGGGGGGCGTGGGGATGGGAAGAGAGGGAGGAGTGGGAGGATAGGCCTAGGAGGAAGCTTGCTTTCCTCTGCAGCTTGAGCACGGAGCATGGGGTGGGAGTCCCATCTCACTGCAGCCTCTGCGGTGAGCTCAGGGTGGGGGCTGCTGGGCGCCTGAGTGGAACTGGGGTTGTGAGGTGGGAGGGGGCTGCTCAAGGATGGAGGAAGAGGGCTGGGCTGGGCCGCCCAGGCAGCTGTACGGGCGGGGCACCTCCTCAGGCCCCTCCGAGCTAGCACGGGGCCACCCTTCCAGCGTGGTGTGCTCCCTGCCAGCCAAGAGCTCCTTGCAGCCCCCTGTCCGGCTTCCCGGCACCGGCTGCCCTGGGGCTCATCTCGCAGAACATGACCCGCCTGGACCGCAGCTCTCACAGTGGTGGGGGCCCTGCCAAAGGGAGCAGGCCCCTTAACTCTTTGCTGGCTGGCCAACGGGTGGCCCAGCCCCACTCTGCTCCTGGGTCCAGGGCTTCTGTTCAGGTTGGTGTATGCGGGGAGACCAAAAGGAGAGGTACACCTGGTGGGAGGTCTTAGGATCAAGGAGCGTTATAGTGGGAAAGGATACCTGATAAGGGCTAGGGAGGTGGGTCTAATCTAAGGATATTGCTTTCTGAAAAGTGCCGGCTTAACCTGAATGGAAGCCAACAGTAGGGTTTCTTTAGCTATAGGAGGTGTCATGTGTAGAAAAGCTCCAATAGCTATTTACTGGGGTTCTATGCTGGTGGCAGTGGGGGTCGCAGTTGGTGCAGGAGCCACCAGGGTAGAGCAGGAGGGGGTGTTTTGGTACCTGAGGCAGCAGCTGTGGCCAAGTGGTGATGGAGGCTATGTCCTTGAGTGGGTTGACTGATGGGGAGTCAGTGAGTCCTGGGGTGTGGTAAGGGCGTGAGAGCTCTGGTGTGAGAGGGGGCACTATGGGGCTGGCCTTGGCAGGGGTGGGGTGCCCAGTGAGGATCAGCTGACTGCTGGAAGCTCTCCTGGGAGCGGCAGCTTGTTAGGATCAGCTGGAGAGTGAGGATTCAGGCAGGGATGGATCTTGAGGTGAGCCTGGGCTTTAAGAGTTGTGGGTGTTCAGCCTTACTCCTGCCTCAGCCAGGGAAGGGGGAATGGCTGGTGACAGCCTGTCATTGTCATTGGTTTCATCAGGTGGTTGCAAATGCAGGGATTTTCCTCTCCAGCCCAGCCCACCCCTTTATGCAAATGAAATGGTACCATAGGCTGATGCAAGCCTGGCCACCATCGAAGCAATTCTGCATGACAGTTTGCCCTTGCTTGCTGTGGCCAGCTTCCTACAAACCCTGTTTTAAGGGATTCCCATTCCCCAAATGAGAAATGCCTCTTAACTTCCACCTTCCTTCTTGCATAGCAATGAGGTGCCCTGCCTTTCAGCTGGGGTGTTTCTGGTGCGGATACTAAGTCCCCAGACTGGTATGGTGATGGGTATGCTATTGGTTTTTGCTAGGTTTTGGTTTTTTTGGAGGCTGGTGTCTGGAAATGGATGAATGAAGCCTTGCTGATGCAGAGTGGGGGGCGGGGGGTAGAGGCTGGGAGCTGTAGGCCTGGGAGGGAATAATTGGAGCGATGCTAGGAAGGACCTCTTGAGAGGCAGGAAGGGGCCCCTAGATCCAGAGCTAAAGTCATGGTGATCTGTCTTTCAGGACATAGATCTGATTGACATACTTTGGCGACAGGATATTGACCTGGGGGCTGGGCGTGAGATTTTTGACTACAGTCATCGCCAGAAAGAACAAGATGTGGATAAGGAACTGCAAGATGGAGTGGAGCAGGAGGACACCTGGCCAGGAGAAGGAGAAGAAGTTCTGGCACGAAACCTGCTAGTGGATGGAGAAACTGGGGAGAGCTTCCCTGCCCAGGTACTCCCACCTCTGCTCACTCCAGGAAACTTATCTTTAGAGAAGGCAGTTGTGTCTTGTGGGATGGACTGAGTGTATATTTTGGGTTGGGGTCTCTCACAGTGAGTGGGCTGAGAAAAGAGGAGTGGATGAACAGAATAGAAATAGAGGGGCCAGGCTTTGGTAACAAACAGCACAGAGGAGGCAAAGCACCTAGCAGATTCCTACTTGCATCAGGACTCTTTTACCTTCCCTGTTCTCCCTTGGAGTTTGGGACTTACGGTCTGTCATTAGCCCGGAAACAGAGGGAGAGTGTGGGCCTACAACCACGCAGGTCTTCCTTCAATGTCCCCTTGGGGAAGCCTGCAGGCAGCCAAAGCCTACATCAGTCAGACTTACAGTTGCTGTTGCCACAGGTGCCTGGTGGGGAGAACCAGACAGCCCTGTCCTTGGAATTGTGCCTTAGGCTGCTGGAGGCCACCTGCCCCTTTGGGGAGAATGCTGAGGTGAGCAGGACTTCAGGGAGAGCCCACCAACTCAGCAGGGTAGCCTGCACACAATGTTCCTACGGGCTGCCTGAGAGGCCAACTCTTGGTGCTGGCCTTGTCCTGGCTGCTGGGGGTGAAATCAGAGGAAGGAACAGAACCTCAGATGGTAGTTAGTCTCTGGGAGGAAAGCAGAAGGCTGGTCTTTCCTTTTTTCTTTGTTAAAGTCTCTGTGTTTTACCCTAGTTTCCAGCAGACATTTCCAGCTTAACCGAAGCAGTGCCTAGTGAGAGTGAGCCCCCAGGTCTTCAGAACAACCTCTTGTCTCCTCTCCTGACGGGGACAGAGTCACCATTTGATTTGGAACAGCAGTGGCAAGATCTCATGTCCATCATGGAAATGCAGGTAGGACTATCAGAGCACAAACTCATGGGACCTTGTGTGGAGGTATCTTAGCACTTACTTGCTTTTCCCTCTCTGGGAAGAGAAAGAGTAACGTATCTGTCTGATTCATAGGAAAGTGAGAACACTGAGAGGTAACTGTCTAGGTATCTCCTTGGGGAGATACGGGGTAAAGTCAGGAGTGGGGTTTGGGATAAAACCCCAGGGCTTGAGCCTTTTAGAGTAGGCCTGCTTCCTAGGTATGCCTCCTTTTTTTCCTTCAAGCAGATAATCACTTGGCTGGGTGCTCCCCAGGTTTATCATTAAGCTGACGTTCATGTAATGCTTTACAGCCACCGTTATCTCACTTGGCACAATTATCTAGTCAGCCCTTTATTATTTATTTTTAAAATATATTTTTATTGATTTCAGATAGGAAGGGAGAGTGAGATAGAAACATCAATGATGAGAGATAATCATTGATCAGCTGCCTCCTGCATGCCCCCTACTGGGGATCGAGCCCGCAACTGGGCATGTGCCCTTGACTGGAATCGAACCCAGGACCCTTCAGTCCACAGGCCAAGGCTCTATCCACTGAGCCAAACCAGCAAGGGCAGCCCTTTATTATTTTAACGGTGAGGACATGGAAGCTCAGATAGGTTACGTGATATACCCATGGTCACATGAAAGTGGTACAGCTAAGTTTTCTCATTCCAAGGCTTGGTCCTTTTTTTTACTATGCTGATTTTGCAATGAAGAGGTAGTCAGTGTTAGGTGTTTGCTTACTCTCTCTTCAAGATGGGGGAGTCTGGCCAAACATGCGTTGGTCAGTCCTGCATTGGAGTGGAGTCCATATGAAGGAACCCATCTCTGTCAGGCCTGGTGGACCAACTAGGGCCAGGAGCTGATGCCGTGGGCTCTGATGTCCAGTTTCTTGTTTTTATACCCATGCAGTTGTGCCTATGTTGGGTGTCTGCTCATATAAGCCTTCAGCTTCACCTGGCGGGGAGTCTACTCTGAGTAAAAGGTGACACTCTTCTTCCCTTTCAGGCCATGGAAGTGAACACATCAACAAATGAGATCCTGTACAATAACCCTCCTGGAGACCCACTGAGCACCAACTATAGCCTTGCCCCCAACACTCCCATCAATCAGAATGTCAGCCTGCATCAGGCGTCCCTGGGGGGCTGCAGCCAGGACTTTTCCCTTTTCAGCCCTGAGGTGGAGAGCCTGCCTGTGGCCAGCAGCTCCACACTGCTCCCACTGGTCCCCAGCAATTCCACCAGCCTCAACTCCACCTTTGGCTCCACCAACCTATCAGGCCTCTTCTTTCCACCCCAGCTCAATGGCACAGCCAATGACACAGCAGGCCCCGAGCTGCCTGACCCACTGGGGGGTCTGTTAGATGAAGCCATGCTAGATGAGATCAGCCTGATGGACCTGGCCATTGAAGAAGGCTTTAACTCTGTGCAGGCCTCCCAGCTTAAAGAGGAATTTGACTCTGACTCAGGCCTCTCCTTGGACTCTAGCCATAGCCCTTCCTCCCTGAGCAGCTCTGAAGGCAGCTCCTCCTCCTCTTCTTCCTCTTCTTCCTCTGCTTCTTCCTCAGCCTCTTCCTCCTTTTCTGAGGAAGGTGCTGTTGGCTACAGCTCTGACTCTGAAACCCTGGATCTAGAAGAGGTGGAGGGCGCTGTGGGCTACCAGCCCGAGTATTCCAAGTTCTGCCGCATGAGCTACCAGGATCCGTCTCAGCTCTCTTGCCTGCCCTACTTGGAGCATGTGGGCCACAACCACACGTACAACATGGCACCCAGTGCCCTTGACTCTGACAAGCAGATGAGCCGGGATGAGCATCGAGCCCGAGCCATGAAGATCCCCTTCACCAATGACAAAATCATCAACTTGCCTGTGGAGGAATTCAACGAGCTGCTGTCCAAATACCAGCTCAGCGAAGCCCAGCTAAGCCTCATCCGGGATATCCGGCGCCGGGGCAAGAACAAGATGGCAGCGCAGAACTGCCGGAAGCGCAAGCTGGACACCATCCTGAACCTGAAGCGGGATGTGGAGGACCTGCAGCGTGATAAAGCCCGACTGCTGCGGGAGAAGGTAGAGTTCCTCCGGTCCCTGCGGCAAATGAAGCAGAAGGTTCAGAGCCTGTATCAGGAGGTGTTTGGGCGGCTGCGAGATGAGAATGGGCAACCCTACTCGCCCAGTCAATATGCTCTCCAGTACGCTGGGGATGGTAGTGTCCTCCTCATTCCCCGCACCCTGGCCGACCAGCAGGCCCGGCGGCAGGAGAGGAAGCCAAAGGACCGGAGAAAGTGAGCCTGGGGAGGAAGGGGGGTTGACACTCACCAAGATTGAAACTGGAGAAGGGCTGGGCCTGGACCTGGACCTACAGTGGGGGACTTGAATGCCTTGTTATCCAATAGATCTCAGATGGGATGACTGTGGGTCAGTGGACAGGAAGAGGCGGGCATAGGCACTGTCTGGCTCAGCTTCCCCCACTGGGGAATGTCAAAGTTGCCAGACTGTCTGGGTGGACAGGGTCTTCACCCATCCCCCTTTCCTTTGAGGGAAGGGGTGGGGTGGTGATGACATTGATGGAGGCCGACAAAGGGGAAGGAAGGGACTTGTGAGAGGAGAGAAAAGTAGTAGAAAGTCTCATTCCAGGAAGAAATGAAGGAAAGAAAAACCAAAAAAAAAAAAAAAATCAAAATCAAAGCTGGAAGAAAAAACTGCAGGTTAAGATTGAATCTGGCCAGGATTCCAGGCAGCAGGTTTTAGGTGGGACTAGGTCATTGGTGTGAGTAAACCCCACTTCACTCCAGGGGAGGGGTGGAGACAGACAAGGTGAGTTCTGGGAAGGGCTTTGTGAACTCTTTCTGCTCCCACACTTTGATATCCATGAAGGGGAGCTCTTAGATAACTCCTTGAACGTTTCAACACAGGGGAGCTACCAGGACCCGACACCTGTTTAGAGGGTTAGGATTAAAGGATACTGAACAGGAAAGGGTCACAAGGCCCCGTATTGCAGCAGCCCCAACACCAAGCATGCCACTCACTGTCCCGCCACTCCATCTCCCTGGTGCCCAGTCACCCCTGAGCTGAGGTTCCCATGACTTCATCAGAGCCTGCATGCAAATGCTGTTCTCTTCCCTGCCCCTCACCAGCTGCCCAGAGCTCTTCTGTAGCTGGGTGCTGGCAGTGCCCCCAGTATGGGCCTACAGCCTTCTGGGGGCTGCTCTGAGGCAGGGGGGATGATGTGGAAAAGCCAGGTAGTATTCAGCACAACACTGGGGAGTGACCCCTCAGACCTCCCACCAACAACTGGGCTTGTCACTGGAAAAAGCCAAAACAAAACCCAGCAACAAAATACTAGTCCTCTTAGAGTTTCTTGCGCTTTGATTTTTTTAGGGCTTGAGCCCTGTTTCACTTATAGGGTCTAGGATGCTTGTGTTGAGTAAAAAGGAGATACCCCAATATTCAAAGCTGCTAAATGTTCTCTTTGCCATAAAGACTCCGTGTAACTGTGTGAACATTTGGGATTTTTCTCCTCCGTCCTGAGGTCTCTGTCTGCTTTCTTCTTTGAGTTTCTTCCTAGGAGGATTAGAAGTGCATGAATGGAGGTTTACAGCATCTTCCCCTGCCCCAGGCTCTTGGCCATAGGCAACTTCTCAGCACCCTGAGCTCAGCAAGGGATCCTGGAGGACTGCCTGGGGGAAGCAGAGGGAGTGGTGCCAAGGTGGCCATATGGTTCCAGGACCAGTGTCTTTATTTTTAACTGTGTGCTACTGCTCCCCCCCCTCCTTGTCTGGTTCTTGGGTACAATCTGGACTAGCAGGAGTTGAATGGGGGAAATGCTGGTTCTCCCCACTTTGGGGGAGGGGTAACACATTAATTGAGCAGTAGGGATAGAAGGTATGAGCCTGGGAGTGCTTTAATAAATTATTTTCCTTGTAGATTTTATTTTTAATTTATCTGTGACCTGCCAGGGAAGGGAGAGGAGAGGTTGTGAGCACATGACAAAATAAAATAAAATGGATGATTCATTCTCAAGTGCAATTTTTCCCTACCTTGAATTTAAACAGTAAATAGGTCTCAGGAGGGCTGGCCATTGTGTGGCTAGGGCAGAGCTTACCTGGGAAGGTGGGTTGACAGTAAGTAATTTAGAAAAGACAATAGTCTTAAATACTGTATTAATAACCTTTCCAAGCAGGTGTTAGGTACCTGTTCACAAGGTATACCAGCTGAATCCCCTCAGAGGAAGGATTCAGAATCCTTTTGGCTTTTCTCAAAGGGCATGCCAAGTGTTTCAGTGTAAAATAGCATGGCCACAGAATGAGAGAAGCAGGAAGCCAGACCCCAGGTTTTGGAAAGCCCCAGCCGAGGTAACTGAAATCTGACACACACACACCTCTGCCTTAATAACAAGCCTTGGAAGTGCTGAATGCTGCAAGGTACTGGGTGGATGCTGGAACTGCCATATGCCCATCTTGAGGTAGGTGCCAAATGCCCAAGTAATGAATACTCAGTGGCAGTCTGAGATTACTGGACAAGATTTATACACTTGGTCTTGGCCAAAAGGCTGAGAAGCAGTTCAGGACAAGGTTTATGACCAGAAGCCATGATCCTAGTAACAGAACCTGTGATCTTTAATTTCCCTGTACCACTGTGTGACCTGGCTCAGCCTTCTTCTTCAATGATGCTGCTAGTTTATCCTAAGGGATGGAATAGAATTCCAGGAACAATATTGATTTCTTAAACTTATTTCAATTTACAATGGCTTTCCCCTTACCTCTAGTTGAAAAGGATTGGTCATACTAACAAGAGCTCTTCCTGCATTAGGAATTAAGCAATATTTGTCAGATAAAACCAAGATTCTTAAAGTGAAAAACAAAAAAAGTCTAAAAATTAAGTTTAAAAAATTCACTGCTAATAAAAAAATACAAATTGTTATGTAGAAGAATAAATTGACAAGTAAAATTCATAAAGTAATATTTTTGTATTCCTTCTAGAAACAAATATATATTTTGGTTTAACAGTATTAGGTTATAACTTTTATCTTGTTTTGCAACTTCTTTTTTAGCTTGAGATGTAAAAGGTTTTAAGTGAAACATTCCTCTCACCCCCTTTACTAGTGTTGCCTCTAGTCTGAGAAAGTATTTTTGTCACCTCCTTTCCCCATGTCCCCGTATGGAGAGATCTACAGTTGTATCTAGGATCACGTTGATTAGATGGGGCTTTCGGCCAAGTTGGTCAGCACTGCTGTGGGGCTGACCTCTTTTGCTGCTGGCTGGTGGAGTGGGTGTTCCAGCTTCAAGGTTTTTTCTGCCAGGAAGATAGGACTCACTCAAGTAAGGCTTGTGAAAGACCTGCTACACTTAAGACAGGAAGTGAGCAGAGATTCTAGGGTTGGCAAAGAGATATGAGCACACCTCAATCCTTAACTAAAGACCAAATTTTAGCATGGCCTGCTTGGGTAGGGGTAGAAGACTTGCTTTGTCTTGACTTCAACACCCCTAGGCTTCATTCAAACCAATTTCCCATACATCATAATTCATGTAAGATGGAAACAGACTGTTTCAACACCTGCCCTGCAGATCTCACCAATGAAGCAGGGGCTATTCCAGTATCATTAAAAATAGAAAAAATAAAAACAAAGGGTAAAATAGTGATCTAGAGTCAGTGTCTACAACACCTGGCCTCCATGGCTGACTCCTCACCTTTTCTAGGGGAAGCTAAACAGCAACTAGTCAAACAGCTGGTGAACGGGGCAGTACTTTCCAAAGAACCTCATCTTCCTCAGGCTGCCCTATTCCCTGCTTTTACAGCCCCAGGTTACACCAGGCCTTGCTGCTCTTCAGGTTTATTTAGCAAATAGCTGGAAAAACCAAGTGCCTTGCAGAAAAAATAACCCAAACACCCTCAAGCCTCCTTCCACATGTAGTAGGCACCAACTTAGAGCAACAGCTTTATTTTTTAAATTGGAGAGAAACATTGATTGTCCCACTTATGCATTCATTGGTTGCTTTCTGCATATGCCGTGACATGATATCAGACCTGCAACCTTGGTGCATGTGGACAGAGCTCCAACCCAACTGAATCACCTGGCCAGAGCCAGAGCAACAGCTTTAGCAGCTCAGACTAAATCAGTAGTTTTAGGGCATCTGCAGCCAGAGTCTGTTTTCTTACTGACGCTATCTATATGCCAATAAGGTACAGGTTGACGTTTGCCTCTCTGGAAGTTGTTTTCCCAGCCAAGTGTAGAAATTCTCTAGCAAAACCTAGGTGCTTGGTTATCCTAAGAGATTGTTTTCTTACCACCGATTCATCTGGAAAGTGAATAGTGACCCATAGACCAAAATATGTGTGTCATTTTGTCAGTGTACCAAGAACAGTAACCCTTCTTTCACCTTTACCTTCTCTCTCACAGAGGGGTTAGTCACTTTCCTTGCCTCTAGTTCTGACTTCATTGTGGAGCCATGTGGGGACTCTGGGGAATACACGTGAAACTTAACACCTGATTTGATTTCTAGTCCTTGTTCTGTCCAGGGATTCTTTGAAAATGCACATCTGCCTAAATTAGCGGATTAACAGAATTCAGTGCACCAGTTGTCTCCTGAGAAGAGTATGGGACCTTGCTAAAGAGTTGTGTTCAGAATTAGTTAGAAACTTTTGTCTTCCTTTCAGAGCACACAAAAATACCAGTGACGGCCTCAAGGATGGTTCTTTTCCAGACTGGAGATAGACTGCACAGTATTTGTTACTTCATTACAGATGATATTTCAACCAAGGAAATAAAACCTAGTTTAGTTCACATGGGGAAAGGTGGAGAAAGACCATAGTTGATGCTCTGCCCTGACCCAAAGCCAGGCCCCAAAGTTCCCCAGTCTGACCACAGGCTATGCACACAGTAAACAGGGCAGGACTGGTCAAAGTCAACTAGGATTTAAAAATCCATGTGGGGTAAACATGGCTTTGGTACTATCACCACCATGCAAACTAACAAGGTCATAGTGCAGACTCAGACCTGCTGTTGAATATTTTAACACAAGTTATTTAATATAAACAAAAACTATAGAATTGAATTGTTAGCATACGTTGTAAACTTACTGTTTCAACTTTACCTTGGAGTTCTGTCACCTCACTGGCCTAAATAAGAAAGAAAAGAAAAGAAAAAAGAAAAGAAAGAAGCCTTAGAAACAGACTACAGTTGACCCTTGAACAATATGTGTTTGAATCGCACAGGTCCACATATATGTGGATTTTTTTCAATAAATACTGTAAATGTATGTTCTCTTCCTTATGATTTTCTTTATTGTAAGAATATAGTATATAATACATATAACATACAAAATATGTGTTTTACAACTGTTATTGGTAAGGCTTCTGGTCAACAGTAGGGTATTTTAAGTTTTGGGGGAGTCAGGTTATATGTGGATTTTCAACTGTGTGGGGAGGGATGTCAGTGCCCCAACCTGTGTTGTTCAAGGGTCAATTAACTGTGCTGCTGTCCTTGCTACCACAGAGCAGGGCCAACTATGCTTTTCATCCCAGCAGGATGGTTATTTCATATTTCATTTGCTTTCAATATTCAGCAAGAAGCTCCCAAGGCCAAGGTCGATTACAAGTCATTCATATAAGTGAGATGAGCAACTTGAACATTGTCTAGGAAAGCAGTAAGTTTTGGATAAAACCTCAGCACTGAACAGTCAAACCAAGGGTGATGTGCAGATCAGAGACTGATTGTTGTCTGGGGATCTTAAGCTCTTCTATCAAACTTCCTTAACCATATACCAGAACACCAGGATACCTCTAACTTGATTGCTTTCTACTACAAGGCAAAGTGAAGCCAAAAATCCTTCCTTTTTACTAAGCTGAATGCAGCCTAGTAGTGATACTGGTATTCCAAATTCTAGGAGGGAAAACACTCAGCCTGGACTTAGTTCAGTCCTATCATCTCTAAATTTTTATTTTTAAAAAATATTTTTACTGATTTCAGAGAGAGAGGGAGAGGGAGAGAGCGATAAAACATCAATGATAAAAGAGAACCATTGATCGGCTGCTTCCTGCATGCCCCACACTGGGGATCAAGCCCACAACCTGGGCATGGGCACCGACTGGGAATCAAACCATGACCTCCTGGTTCATAAGTCAACGCTCTACCACTGAGCCATGCCGGCCAGGCATGAGCTCTAAATTTTTAAATGAGAACATCCTCATGAGACAATCCAACTTGCAGATCAGATTAACATCTCAAACAGAACCTAGCTCCATACATAGTTCAGGATCTGGAGCACTACAGAAAATTTGCACTTCAAGTTTCCAGTTCCACCCAATGATAGCAATTTCCTCTATCATTTTCCCTTTCTGTATGAGGGAGATAATTACTTTGTAACACAGATTCCCAATGCCACAGACTATAAAGATATGCTGAGCACACATGGCCAAAACACCAAATAGCCATGGATTAAAATCAAAATGAGCTGAGCGTGAATGAGTTCTGGTATAGAAGATGATATTTGAAATTAAATTCAAATATTCAACTTAAAAATTCAAC